TGTTCATACACTGAATAACATCTCCCTGTGTATGAGATACCCTTTCTATGCCCCGGCTGTCAAGTGTGGTGATTTTAGAAAACCATTAAAACCCTATAGTTTAGTTCAGGATTATCTTCTTTGTGCTTGTTGTAGTAAATGCCAAAATAATTTGTAAGTGAAGAACGACAAAAACTATGTCCCTGAAGGCTTCTATTAAAATTCATAAAAAGCTGAAGTAACTAAATACGTACTTTACGACCGTCCATGAAAATTTACTGTCGACAAAGTGTACAAGTTTAGTGTCCTGGTTGATGTATTTAAAAGAAACGTAGTAAAGGTACTACCGTAGCTTACTAAATTGACTCAAGGCATTGTGGATACCGGATAAAGATTTCTTGGAATATCTTGGCATTAATTCCGTACTGACTTTGGCAAGTCTTTCCAGGAGTTTATTAGGAATTTCCATACATGATGTTTTGATGCCAAATACTAAAACAGAGTACGACAAAATCTCTATACGACTAAATCCCGATTGGACATTGTCATTCGTCTAAAGCCAGTATGACTAGATGTTAAACATTTTCCGACGAGTGGTCATGCGTAGAAATTCCTTGATTATCTGGCATGGGTCATTTTATAATGGTGTCGTATCATAAGTCTATTCTTCAAAACTGAAAACCGTGTAGGCAACCAGCCAACTGGATGCAATGAACTCGCGTATGAATACAACGACAAACTTTATTGTCTTACTAAAGCTGTTACAGAGTATTTATGTTCGGTTATAAAACTTGGTGAGACAAATTGTGACGTTTTATGTGGGAATACAAAGTTTTGGAGGGTCTTTTTTTTAGTACACAATGTATATGTGGACTTGCCGATAACATAGCAGCATTATATAATGGAAAAAATAAAATGGATTGAGAAGATATCAAATGAGGAATTTTTGGAAAGGGTAAGGGAAGAAAGAAATCCTTTGAACACAATAGAGAATAGAAGGGGAAAATGTTGGGTCATTTGCTACATAATGACAAATTTGTAAGTAATTTAATTGAGGAGTAGATAGAAGGGAAAGAAAGAAAAGGTGACTAAAAATGGCGTACAGTAAACGAATAGAGAAGAAGAAGAAAAGGTGACTAAAAATGGCGAACAGTGAACAAACAGAGAAGAAGATCAAAGTAAGCAGCTTTAAGGAGGTCAAGTAGCTGATTTTGAAACGTGAGGAGTGGAGAAGGCTACACCGACAGAGCTTCTCTCTTAAATAGAGGATAGTCTGATGATGATAAATAATATTGAGCTAATTTAAGTGGAGAAATTATCTGTTCACAAAACTTTATATCTGTTGTAATGCTTTATATGATTATTTGTTTACGCAATGGTGATATATATATCACCATATATATCACCATTGCGCATATAAAGCATTACAACTGTTTTACAACTGTGGGCTAACATATTAGCCCAGTTCTTTTTGGAAAATGTACAATACAATACAAATACTTTTTATTGCACATAAGAACAAATTACAGATACAAACAAAAAACAGGCGGCTGTATTGCTATATGTCTTTCGGGAACCTTCGGGTGACATTTTAAAGTTAATAAATAAGTAGTATTTGCTTTGTGAGGTAATAATTAAACGTAATTAATATACTCTTGGATGTATTTAAAAGAACCATAATAACAAAGTTGAAATATGACAACAGTGTTTATACATATAAATAACTGGCCACATATACCAAAACGTTTAATCGAAATTAAAAGATGATTGAAGTTATTCTTCTTTTAAATTTAGGCAGGTGTAAAAACACGATATCTATATCAAATATATGTATACATAGGATACACACATTTAAAATAAATTCAAATTCAAAAAATAATATTTCAATTTCATATTTACAGAAAATAGTAACCCGTATTAAGCGAACTTTCAGGTTATATTCGTCCATAATATATTGCAATCAATTTTGTAAATGTCTATTTATAAAGAGCAACCTGTACAGTTTCTTCAGTTTCTGCTGTTGAAATTACAGTTAGAGAAATTACAGGCGCAGTGGCAGTGCGCCTCAGATCAGGCGTGTAGCTTACCATCAGACGCACGACTTTTTTGTCCCGTCACTTGATAATATAAAAAAACTGCTTTCCGAATTAGTGTTGTATTTAATCAATGTGTAGATTTCAATCAATATTTTGCTTAACTATGAAATAAAAATATTTATGAATTTTAATTTTTCATTGCACCATTGCAACCCTATAAGAAAGGTGTTTTACGTCACAGTGTCCACCATTCTTATCCAACCAAAGCGAACTGGAAACTCCGCACATCTTCGATAACTTCTGTTAACTTCAGGTTTCATTATCATGTTCTCTATCTATGGCGGCCTTAATATTAAAAAGCCATTAGCGCTCCTTAACAATGCTTTCACTGTTAAAACAGCCGAGAATTTACATAACACTCCGACATGACAAAGCTCAAACGTTTCATGTGTGAGACAAATCCTGTGACCTTCCGAACAAATAATTTGAATTTGAATTTGAACCTACAAAACGTGCGTGCTAGAACTGTAGTTTTTAGTATTGTGTACTTTGGCACAGGTGACGGTCGTCGAGTTCACCGGTGCGGAAGTCGAATTCACCGGTAGAAATAATCGAGTCTTTGGTTGGTAGATGATTAACTGTGTCGTAGTTGAGACTATTTATACAGATTTGATATGTGCGTGTATATGCTATCTTACATTATTTTGCTCACACCAAGACATGCCTGAACACGGAAGAAAAACAATCGAAAGGTCTTAAGCCTCGATTAGTATAAGAGCTGTTGTTGCCAAAATTCACACTATCATAATGTTAAACACTATGAAATCTTGATAGTTATTGATGTAGTTTCTAATTTGAAAGGATGTAACAAATTAACGACTGTTAATATAATTTAAACTTTTCCCAATTGGCATATCGTTGAAAGTTGAATACCTATTAATGCAAGTTACGATTTTTCGGTTTATATTGAAATTTCATTCAATGTGTTGCCATCTAGCGGCAATAGTTGAAAGACGACGACCGTCTAAGGCCTATCAAATTTTTTTTTTAAAGTCGACGTGTATTGCAGCAGTATAAGGTTTACTATAAGAAACAATCTGTTACGATAAACAGATTATAACTTTTTATAAAAAAAGTCGTCAAAAGTCCGTGGAATTACATCGGTTCCTGGAAAGTGCGTGAAACCAATACTGAGATTTCCTCTTTCCAACAAAAAAAAATCGTCAAATTCGTTTCATAAATGCTGGAGAAATCAAGTAATATACATACAAAAAAAAATAGTCAAATTGAGAACATCCTCCTTTTTTGAAGTCGCTTAAAAATGGTAAATGTATTCAAATCATGTAAACCAGTGCTTAATGATAATAATATGAAACACCACCATGATGCGACTACACCTTTACTCCAAAGTAGCAAAATAAGGCATTTTTCCATAATTTTCAAGGTTTTGCACAAGATAATTTGAATTTCGTAACAAGAAAGTTTAACATTGGCACGTCTGCTAGCTTTTTAAATTTAAAATACAAACCACAACCAGTTGACCAATCACAAGGTTTAATTTCAGTAATAATCCCTAAATTAAAACAATGTAAGTATAATAAATATACGAAATAAGCGTCTCATGAAAGAAAGGAAAAACGTTCCATCCTATTTCCTTATGTCAACATTTTCTTTTACGTTGTTCCGTTTTCCGTAATGGAGAAATTGTTTTTTACATTAATATAAAATCTTGATATGAATAAATAACATCGCATAGAGCCTTGTTGCGCATAATTGGAGTTTGTTAGTAAATTGAATCATACTTTTCTGTTTCATTTTACAAGAACTTTTTTCAAACGATATTCGAAAGACGGATATTCAGAATTTTATAATATGAAGAACTATTTTCGAATTCAACATATTTTTTTTTCGAAAACTTTCAGAAACTCATTTCATGATGTAAATAGAAAACTCATTTCTTTTTTCTTATTTTTTATTACACCATGTGACGGGGCGAACGAGCCATGCACGTGGTAAGCGATACGCTCGTCCATAACAGTTGCAGTGCCACGCAGAGCTTTAAATCAAAAAAATCTGAGGGACACTTCCGCTGTCGTCACCATTCGACATAAGTTGACAAGTTCCATGTGCCTATAATTTCACCAGTACCTTACTCTTTAACAGCAGAAATAGATAAGTTAACAATACTTCTCTAGACGAACTCTTTCACAAAGAGCCCTAATGCTAGTAAAATTTAAATTTTAAATACAAAAATGTTTAACTCAACGACAACGTGATATCACTTAAAAACTTTTTTAACACCTAGTCCGTCATATTATCGTATGCTTAAAAGCACCTTCCATAGCCTATGATCAGATACTTCAATCGAGCTTGCAGATAGGCACCCAAGGGAAGAGGCTCTTCTGTGTTTACGCAGAGGCGTCCGTAGCAGTGCATGGATCAATGCATAGAAAAAAAAAATGTTGTCTTTCTTAATTGGTTAATTAAGTAATACGAAAGAGCGAGGTCGGTGTGTGACTGTCGTTGATCTTCGGCCGTGCGAAGAAATCATGGACTATGCATGACATAGCGTTGTTTTAACGACTGTTTTGTCTTAACAATGCAATAAAAACGAAAAGTACAAAAGCATAATGGTCTGCTCAATTATTCTGAACCTTTATTAAAATTTTAGATAATAAACAGTCGTAAAAACTTAGAAAGTTAATGAATGTGTAGAATCGCTGACTTTTTAAATTTCGAGAGGTGCTTGTGTCGGCCTGCGCTCTGAAAGCTATTGTGGAAGCACTTGACCTGTTTTGTATCAGGTCTGGAGGCTGGTTCACGCTTCGCTAACGAGTGCTGCCTCTGCCAAACGATCCGCCTATCTAATAACTATACTTTTAAGTACTGAAATATAACGAAGAATGCCAGTCATGTAAAATTTGGTTCTTTAATCCATATTTGTTTTGTCATTTAGTATAAATTTCTTATTTCTTTTCCTTTTAGGTTGAAGATGTATTGATCGGACTGGTGGCAGACGTCACTGAAGAAAGTTCCTCCCTACCTCCTACTCATGGCTCAAAATCCCTCCCTTAAAACATTCCTTAAATTCTTCTAAATCTTTAAGCGACGAAATTATCTAAAAACATTCCACTATCGCGACCTCCAAGTTTTCACCTTATACCCGATTTGTGCCTGCGAGTCAGCAACGTTAAAATAAGATCATATACGCAAGTGAGCTATAGGAGTACGGTGGAGTAACGCGCGTGAACCTCTTCGGAGGGCGCGAGAGGCCGGCGCGATGCGGTCTCGCCAGGGATGTACGTAATATATCCAGCGGACGAAGTAGTTTACCTCACATACAACTCGAATTCGTTGCCCCGGATCCGGCAGCGGCCTACGCTCGACGTGCTCTTCGGGCCGCCGCCGCCTGCGCCCACCAGCGCAACCCCCTCGCCCTTGCCCCCCGCCCCGCCCCGCGCCGCATCCGTCCCCAAAACGGCGCCTCCGGAGCCCGCGGAGCGCGCGACGGCCTCGCCGACCCCGTCAAATGACCGGTCGGCCAAGCCGCGCGAGCGCACCAAACCCAAATTTCTCAAAAAACTAGGCGCTCGTCACGAGGACAATGATTTCGGGAAAATAGTTAGGACCCCTGCACCAGATTTCGAGTTGCCGGCACCGTTGCCCACTCCGGCGTTTTCGCGGAAAAACATATTCGACCGGGACTTCGATGCATTATTCGAAGTGGCGAGTACGCCGCAGTTCACAGCGAACATTCGCGTGACGACACCGGAGCCAGACCACCACCCTGATGTCTCAGCGGCTCATTTCCCATCCCCGGCGATCTCGACATCGAGCTTGCTGCCGCCGCGCCCCTACTCAGAACCTAGTCCCTCGCCCTCGTCCTTCGGCCGCACCTCCACGCCTTCGACGCCGTCGCCACAACGTATCTCCTATGAAGGTTTTTGAACGAGAGAGTGCATTTGGAATGACAATCATCGACTAACTGATTGCGTCTCACGTCCATTGCGCATGGTACTTCAATAAAACAAACATTACGCTTTAAAATTTATTGTCTCATCGTCATTGAGTTTTTCACGTTTAACACGTTTGTTTTTCTTGGTTTTTGTACAATAAACTTTCATTAAAACTTGTGTATTATTTTGCATATTTGAGTAGTTGACTTTTTTCCAGGTTCAAACTCGAAGCCGAAGAAGGTTAGTTTCTTCAAACGCAAGTTCAGCCGGTCGCGAGAGGAGTCACCTTGGGTCAACACCATGCAGCCGCAGCCTTCCATGGAGATGGTTCTGCGGGAGCTCAATCATCCTGCTCATAACGAGCAGCTCAAAAATCAACAACAAGTTACATTCAAACTAGTCAAAACTGGTGAGTACACTAATTTACAGACTTAAGTCCAGAATTTACTGCTTTGTTTACTTTTTCGTAGCAAGAACAATTACATATTTGAATCGTATTGGAAATAGTTTAATTGGATCAATAATTGCTTCCTAGTTCCGTCTCTTGCCCGCACATACCTTACTCTCACGCAAGAGCGAGATAACGACACCTAGCGGACGAAGAAAAAAACTCTCGCTCCGCCCTGTTGAAATTTCCAGTTAATAATAATTAAATGTAAAGTTAAAATATGTACGAAATCCTCAAACTGACTTGATTGCTGATATCGTAGCTTTGGTATAAGAAAAACATATCGTCGGAGATACTGCAAATCCGCATATGTAATATCTGTACTTAACTAAATTTTACTGGCGAGGGATTTAACATTATTACTTTTGTTATTTCAATGGCCACGACATTTATTTTTGCACAGGAAGCATTAATTTAAGTTGTTTACGACCTGATAACAATAAATTCCCTTAAATCAGGCTAAATTGGTTGCCACAACATTTACGCGAATTTGATTTGGCCACTAAATTACCGAAATGAAAACTAGTAAGTTTGCGCACAACGTCCGATTCGTATCTGGGGGTCTACTCTCGATCTCCGTTCGACATCCGTCCGAAACAATTACTGCCAAATAAGCAATACTTGATCAAATGAAAAGACGCGTGATGCGAATGAAGCTTCATACTTGATACTTGTCTTTTAATTTTGTCGAATATTACTTATTTGACAGTAATTATTTCCGACGGATGTCAGACGGAGATCGAGAGTAGACCCCCAGTTCCGAATCCAAGAAAATGACGGTCCGAAATGTCTCTAAAGTGTCATTTTCCTACCGAAATTACTTAAAATTTACTTAGAAATAGTTTTATTTTTGCGCATTACTTGCACTGTTTATAATTGAATGTGGTGTATTGACTTGATTTTATATAATAGGCATATTGATTAAATATGAATCCTTACCATTAGTCTAGACGACCACTGTGGTCGAGCGGCTTTCACATCGGGTTTCATGGGTTCGAACCCCGACCTGAATGTAGAAATAGCTACCTTTTCTCGTAAGCTCAAACGGTTCAATGCGGAAATAAAAAGCAAAAAACGAACTAGACAAAAGCAGTAGATTTTATAGCATAAGCCTTGGTTAGCTATAAATGAAAATTCCTTTGTGTGACGAACAGGTTACATGTCGCTTTGTACCGACGCAAAAGAAAGATTAGGTAGCTTTTAGTTTCCACTTTTATGGTGGCACTTGACATAGCTATTTGTATTTGCATATTTGGTATATTTGGCAAACAATGACCATGTGTAGATACCATGTGTGACAAATTATTTGTCTTGTTTGCCTATTCCACAAATACAGAAAAACACCACCAGCGGTCATCCTCGTGATCATGTGCGAATATCAACATATAATATTATCATATTCAACTTATTTTTAAATTATTACTAAGACCCTCATTCATTAATGTCATATCGATGTTATAAACTAATGTTTGCCATAGTAATGAAAAGATTTGCCAATCGGCGTAAAGGTACTTGCCGATTGTTGCCTAGAGCGCGCCAGACGTACAGGAAAGGGATGGTATATCGTGTGGAAAGGCTTTTTCGTGTACCCCAGAGACAAAAGTCTTAAAGTCATAAAATTCATTAATACGAATATATATGTAAATACAAAGATCCGACAACAAGCACATAGAAAGATTTGTGTGGTCTGCTGATTTGTTCCGTGACTTAGTTGGCATAGCATCTGGCACGGTTTGCTAGAAGACGTCGATTCGAATCCGGCCGGATCGAAGGAGTTTTTTCTAAGTGTTCGATCTAATTGTAACTTTTTTTATCTTTTGTTTTTAACAATTCCCCTTAACTTTTCAGTGTCATTTTATTTTTGATGCCAATTCCATTGACATGATTTATAACACGCTGAATTACAATAAAATTAGTAGCAGTAGAACTCCTTGTGAAAGAGTTCGTCCAGGGCAGTACTGCCACCTTGCATACTTATTTTTGTCGACAGTTAGTAATGTGAGCATCCCTTTGTTCCGATTTTGAAGGTAGGGCTCTGGTGAAATTACAGGTACATGGGATTTGTCAACTTAGATCTGAAAGTGCCGCACAGATCTTTGCGACTTAAAGCGTTTCGCTTACCATCAAGCGCACGACATGTTCGTCCCGTCACTGGGTAACACATAACAATAATTAAATGCAAAAAGAGAAAGATTAAGGCTTACTGTCCACGGCAGCGTCATTTGACGAATGCGTGCAAACTGCAAATGTAAAAAAAAAAATATTTTGCATCTTAGTTCTGTCCACATATTGTTCAATAATACGAACAAAATTTCTTCTTGTCTCGTCTTTGCGTTTTGCAATAAGCTCGAGTAGTGACCACAGAACACTATACTCACAAGGAATTGGTTCTATATGATCCATTACGATCCAAACAATCGATTTAAAGCGTAAACACGTGCATCTCTAGTAAAAGTTCAACAGTGTTGCCAAATTAACCGATTACAATGATCACATACGTCCTTCATAATAAACTTATCTTAAATTTATTCTATAAATAACTTTTGTACTTTATGGTAAATTTATATGATATATCAAATTATGTAAAGAATTAACTTTTGTAATATAAAATGTTATAAAATAAAAATATGTCAGAATTTATTGAGGTGACATTGAATGTACTTTCTAACTATCAACACTATTCGTTGTCTCGCTCCGATTTTCACTCGCTATTTCTCTTTGATATTGCCCCAGTAGGTATTCCTAGCGGCTCAGCCAATGTCGGCAGGGCCTGGTAGTGACATGCTGCCTAACGAGCTTCATGACGAACGGAAATGCGGCGTTGCCGCTCCAGTGGACACAGTTTCGTTCGTTACTACGCAAGATGCAAGCATGCAGCACGCAAGCGTGAAATGACGATACCGTGCGTATGATGTGCAGTCTATGTGGACAGTAGGCCTTACTTTATAGAACAGTAACTACTTTCAACAATTCAAATAGTGACGGCACAAATGACAGTAACAAAGGCTGAAACCATTTGAATGTACAATAACAAAGGGCTACAACAAAGCAAACTTACTAAACTAACATTGCTTAGTAATTTACGTCATAAAGTATGTGACGACACCACACCCAAAGCGAGGCTTCAGACGGTCAATCACATTAATAAATTAATTTATAAGTGAGTATTAATAAATTAATTGGTACCCTAATGTATGGTAGTGAGTGTGGCAGAAAAAACATGAAAATAGGGTGAATGCTTTAGAAATGAGAGCTTTGCGCAATATGTGCGGTATTAGTCTTAAAGATGGAATGCCGAACAGTATAGTAAGAGAGCGTTGGTATGAAAGATGATGTAGTGACAAGGATAGAGAGAGAGAGAGATGCTTGGATGGTTTGGTCCTGTAGAAAGAATGATTGTTGGTAGATTGACGGCACAAATTTATAGAGCAAATGTGGATGGAAGCGTGGGGAGAGGCAGACCTCGGCGAACATATCTCAATCAGATTGATGACGTCCTTAAAAAAGGTCGGGTTAAAAGTACTAAGAATAAACAGGCATGTGTGAAGAGATTGATGGGTGGAGGAGGCGAAGGAGGTTTGTCAGGAGCGCAGCAAGTGAAGGTTCATAGTCTCTGCCTATCCCGGTGAAAGACAGGCGTGATGATATGTATGTATGTGTAATAAGTGAGCAGCGTTAAAATCAAATTTCGCTAAATGCTGGTCACTTATCAATTAATCATTGATGTAATTTTTAAGTGTATTGAATACACAATGTTATTCTACCGTGATATTTAATTATTGTTTGTGTATTTACTCCACTAGTTTGTTATAATTATTATAACAAAGATCAATCCGTGACAGGTGCTCTGCCAATTAAGCCACGGAACGAACCAGACCTTCGTCTTCTTCATGCGCCATCTTCTAATGAATTTCGGCGATCTCGATGGCGATCACGATCACGATGGCAATCCGAACTTTGGACACTGCAGCTCTCAATAATGATCGGGTGCTTCTATCGAACCATTGACGCAAATTTCTGAGCCAGGATGTTGTCCTTCTCCCTACACCTCTCTTTCCTTGTATTTTGCCAAATCAAATCACACCGTAAGAATTTTATATATTTAAATATATATGTAGAGGAAAATTCCCTGTTGACTTGTTGCCTAACTAAACAATAATAAGTTGGGCCTTTTCTAGGCCATGGTGACCAGGCGTTATATAAGCATGTCAATATACATATTTATACAAAAAAAAAACCAAAAACCAAATACTGTTGTGACTTAAAATTGTGGAATTGAGGGTTACCTATCAATAGTACGAAATGATATTTTCCAGAAATAACGTTTGCTCGAATTTTCATAACCTCGAAAGTAATTTTGAGAGGAAAATGTTTTTTCTTTTAAACCTGAACCTTACCTAACCGAACCTAATCTTGTCTTTGCGATAAACATCCAACATATCCTGAAAGAACAACGGTTTGGGTATAATTCGGTTTTCGGTGTAATGCAAATTCGAACAAACGTTATTTCAGAAAAAAAATTCGAGTTTGTGATAGGTTACCGGTATCGAGAAAACACTGTCACACGGGTCTCGCGTAATTAAATAGAAGGCTCAGTCCACATTAATTTTATTGTAGAATTTAAAAAAAAGAGTACACGAAGGGAAAATACCAGGTAAAGTAACAGGCTCTAACAAAACATAATGATATAAAAACAGGTACAATCGTATAAAAACACTCCCTACTTAAATAAGGGTTATGGTAAAAAGGAACTTACCCCAAAAGGGCCTGTATTTTCTAGAAGTACTATGTTTATAAGCAGTTCGGTTACATGATTTTCAATGGTACTACAAATATAATACTTTACAAGCAGTTAGGTTACATAAGTTAACTGGTCAGAAGTTTATGTGAAGTCGAGCGTGTGTGCTCGCTTCGGAAATTTAGTAGAGAGTGGCGATGGAAAGAAGAAAAGTAAGTGACGT